ATTTAAAAATCAGTTTGCATTGTTTACTATAGCTGTTTACAGTGTTCTAATCATTACGATTTACTTATTTTTTTGCTTCCATTCTAGATAATTATGCTCAGTGATGTAAAATTGAAGCGATGACTGAATGAACGAACCTTGGCTGGCGAAGATGTATCTGGAAGTGTACACATTTGTTGGAAGTGAAAAAAATATTCAATGTAATGACAAAAATTGTAAAATGCTGTGGAATTTCTTTTGCAAATAAAAATATACGAGCAATTTTCTATTAATGGTTTATTCAAGTGAGCAAAATATAATGTACAAAAAGATTGCCCATAGCGTGTCGCTACACTGAAAAGTAAGCAACCGACAGCCTGTATAAAAGGAGGGCTGTGATTGGCTGTTACTTACGCGAGATTTGAACGGGACTTACATAGGCGTAGGATCAGATGTAGGTAGGGCGGAATTAAAAAAAAAATCACAAAATCAAAATCAAAGTAAAATAATAAAATAAAAGGGCATTAATAACAAAAGTAATAAAAAATATAATTAAAATAAGTTTATAGCCAAAATAATTAAAGCCCGTACACTACATCAGATTTTAATCAGATTGGTATGGCAATTACATGGCTTCGCCAGTTTTACTTTGGAAGAAGTTGAAAACAGGTAACAGAAAGGGGCTACATGACTACATCTTTTTTTTTTAAATTTTAATCAAGCATGATTTCTTTAATTTTTTTTTTTTTTTTTACAAATGTCTATTTCAGGGCAACAGAAACAAAAACAATAAATGTGTAGGTAGGCATTTTAACAATTGCACAATTAATATTGGATGAAAACGTCATTATCGATATAAATCATAATCATAATTAAAAATAAGATCACATTTAATTTAGTCAGTTTTCATAATGAAATGCATAATAACATGTACTTATAAATTTGAATAAGGTTCAACAGCCTTTTCATTTAGTGCCAGTTTATACACCATAAAACCTCTGGTTTAGGTGTCACTCAGAGAAGAGTGAAAGGCTTTTGGTTCATAGGCATCGCAAAATGTTGGAATTG